GTTTGGTGGGGATGTGCAGCACTCGAAACTCGCCAAGGGCAACACGCTCGCGGACGAAGTGGATGTCGAGCTCCACATGCTTGGTGCGCCGGTGGTGAACAGGGTTCGCCGAGAGGTACACCGACGAGACATTGCCGCAGAAGACGAGCGTGGCGTTGGTCACCGGTGCGCGGAGCTCGCCAAGGAGTTGGCGTAGCCAGATGCACTCGGCCACGGCGTTCGCGACGCTGCGGTACTCCGCCTCGGCGATGGAACGGGACACGGTGGCTTGCCGTTTCGACGACCAGGAGACGAGGGCGTCGCCGAGGTAGATGCAGAAGCCGGACGTCGAGCGCCTGGTGTCGGGGCACCCGACCCAGTCAGCGTCGGTGAAGGCAGGAAGATCCAAGGTCGACGAAGCGCGAAGGTGTAGACCAAGCGAAGGAGTCCCGCGGACATAGCGAAGCACGCGCTTGACCAAGTTGAGATGGCAGGCACACGGATCGTGCATATGTAAGCAGATCTGCTGAACCGCGTAGGCCAGCTCAGGGCGGGTGATGGTGAGGTATTGTAGCGCTCCGGCAATGCTGCGGTAGGCAGAGGGATCGCCGACGCGCGGCCCATCGGCCTGCGGGAGCTTGCCCTTCGTGTCGATCGGCGTCGGCGAGGGCTTGCAGGAATCCATGCCGGCGCGATCAACCACATCCTCGGCGTACTACTGTTGACAGAGGAAGAACCCGGCAGGAGTGCGTTGAACGCGAATGCCGAGGAAGAAATGAAGCGGGCCGAGGTCCTTCATGGCGAACTCGCCAGTGAGACAGTGGATGATGTGCTGGAGCAGAGCGGAGCTGGAGGCGGTGAGGACGATGTCGTCCACGTACAGCAGAAGGAATGCCGTCTCGACGCCGTGCGTATAGACGAACAGGGACGAGTCAGAGCGAGTGGCGACGAAGCCGATCGTCTTGAGGAAGCCAGCGAAGCGCAGAAACCAGGCGCGCGGCGCCTGCTTGAGGCCGTAGAGCGACTTGGCCAGGCGGCAGACGTGCCCGGGCTTGGTGTCGTCGACGAAGCCGACGGGCTGGTGGCAGAACACCTCCTCCTGAAGCGTGTCGTGCAGGAAGGCATTCTTCACATCGAGCTAGTGCACGGGCCAGTGGCGGGAGGCGGCGATGGTGAGCACCTATGGATGGTGGCCGGCTTGACCACCAGGGAGAACGTCTCGCCATAGTCGACACCGGCATGTTGCCGGAACCAGCGCACGACCCAGCTGGCCTTGTAACGCTCGAGGGTGCCGTCAGCGCGCATTTTGTGCTTGAACACCCACTTGCCGGTGATCAGGTTAGCACCGGGGGGACGCGGCACCAGCTCCCAGGTGCGGTTGCTGACGAGGGCGGCGAACTCTTCACGCACGGCCGCCAACCAGTTTGGGTCACGCACGGCGATGCGAACAGAGCTGGGGAGCGGAGAGATCGACGCGCTGGTGGAGGCAGTGGCGGCGTCGTAGTAGCGCGGGTTGGGGCCGGAAGATCCCAGTCTGCGCACGCGTGACCACCCGGCATGGCGGAGCGGCCGCAGCCGGTGAAGTGGGTGCAACAGAGGAAGCGGGCAGCGAGGAAGCCATGGAAGTTGAAGTAGCTGTTGGCGCACAGGAGCCGGAGCCGTCGATCATCGATCTGACGCCCCCTGTTGAACTGGAGGAGTGAGTGGTAGAGCGCGAATGCACGGAGCCGCTCGATGATGATCCGACGGTCGTGGTTGAATCGTGCCGAGGCGCAAAGAGATGCGCGGTGCCAGGCGCGGCAACAGAGCGCGGAGCGGGGACTTGCAGGATTAGTGGCGCAACAGGCGGCTCCGGCGACGGAGAGAGCGTGGTGGCAGGAGCGGCGAGGCGAGCGAATGGGAATTCATGCTCGTGGAAGAGAACATGGCGCGAGGTTAGAACGCGCCGCGAGATCGGGTCGAAGCAGCGGTACCCGCGGTGATCGGATGGATAGCCGAGGAAGACGCACGCAACAGAGTGAGCAGCAAGCTTGTGACGAGCCGTGGCGGTGGTGTTAGGGTAGCAGAAGACTGTAATCCGGGGCTACACCAAGCAGGAGTTCGTACTAGGAGCGAGGCGCGCTGGAATGACAAGGACGGCGATTCAGCAGCTAGGTAGCGGTGTTCAGGGCTTCAGCCCAGAACCGCGGCGGCATAGACGCATGGAGAAGGAGAGCGCGAACACTGTCTTTGAGTGTGCGTAGAATGCGCTCCGCCTTCCTGTTGTGCTGGCTAGTGTACGGGCAGGAGAGACGGAGGACAGAGCCATGCGCAGAGAGGAGTGAGCGCACGGGAGCGCTGTCGAACTCGCGCCCGTTATCTGTCTGAAGAGAAAACACAGGGAGCTGAAATTGTGTGCGGACATATGCATAAAAATCATGCAGAATTGGAAGAACATCAGATTTGTGCTTGAGGAGAAACATCCATACATAATGAGTGTAGTCATCAAGTATCACAAGGTAGAACTGCTAACCGGAAATACTGGTAACAGGCGAGGTCCATACATCTAAATGGAGCAACTGGAAAGGAAAATAAGTACATCTAACTGAAGACTGAAATGGTAAACGTGCATGTTTGCCTAATAGACATGCTGGGCAGTGATGCAGCGACGACTTGCTGAAACCGAAGCATAGTTGGGAGGCGATTTGATGGACAGAGGCGGCGCCGGGGTTCCCCAGGCGCTGGTGAAGCAGCTCGACGATGGCCACGCCGGCGAACGGGCGCGAAGACAGCGACGATGTAGGCCCCACGCGATACAAATCACTGGTGGAATCACAGCGGAGGATCACCGCCCTGGTCCGGATGTCCTTCATAGAAAACCCAAACAAGTCAAACTCAACTGAAACGGGATTGTCACGACAGAGTTGACGAACAGAGAGAAGTTTTT